CCGACGCCGCCCTTGCCGCTGGCCACGGCGACGATGTGCTTGACCCCGGGCACCAGCGCCCGGCCGCCGCCGCTTTGGGGGGACGCGCCGCCCTGCGACGGCGCGCCACCCTGCGAGGACGTGCCGCCCGGAGCGCCGCTCGGCGCGGAGGCCGGGCCTTGCGCCGCGCCGCCGCTGGACTCCGCCGTCAGCACCGCGGTGACCGAGAGCACGCCCTCCAGCGCGTCGACGGCCGCCTCGGCCGCCTTGCGCAGCGGCTCCAGCTTGGGGCCGCGCTTGGGGTCGACCTCGATGGCGAAGCCGACGTTGCCCTCCTTGACCACCAGGCCCTGGACCATCCCCAGGCTGACGATGTCGGCGTCGCGGTCGGGGTCTTTCACCCCCCGCAGCGCCTCCAGGACCTGCTCTTCGGTGATGCGGCTCATGCTTGAATTCTCCGCGCTTGTGCCGATATCGAGCGGAACCCAATTCGGCCGGGTTGGCCTGCGGTCGCGGCCCAGGATATAGGGGGCTGAGCGGCGGCTTGTCCACGGGCAGCGTGGCCGGCCGGCGGCGCGCAGCGCAGCGGGGCCCGCGCGGCTCCTCTGGCGGCTGCCGAGCCTACGCCTGTTTCCGGTATGCGGCCGGAGCAGCGGTGCAGATGACGAGGTTCAGGGAGACACACGAGCATGCCTTGGCAATCGGGTAGCGGCGGCTCCGGCGGCGGCGGAGGCCCCTGGGGTGGCGGCTCCGGCGGTTCCGGCGGCGGGTCCGGCGGTGGCGGACCGTGGGGCGGCCGCGGTGGCGGCAACAACGGTGGCGGTTGGGGCTCCGGCGGCTGGGGCCCCGGCGGCGGCAACCGGCCGCCCGACTTCGAGGACGTCATCCGGCGCGGCCAGGAACGGCTGCGCGGCGCGCTGCCCGGCGGGCTCGGCGGCGGCCGGGGGCTGGGCATCCTGATCGCCGTGGCGCTCGTGCTGTGGCTCGCCTCCGGCTTCTATCAGGTGCGCCCGGGCCAGCAGGGCGTGGTGCTGCGCTTCGGCGAATGGGTCAACCAGGACAGCCTGGCCGGCCCCGGCCTGCACTGGCACCTGCCCTGGCCGATCGAGACGGCGGTGACGCCCAACGTCGAGGAGATCCGCCAGATCGAGGTCGGCTATCGCGGCAACGCCAGCCGCACCAACGACGTCGCCGAGGAAAGCCTGATGCTGACCGGCGACCAGAACATCATCGACATCGACTTCACGGTGCAGTGGCGGATCAGCAACGCCGGCGAGTTCCTGTTCAACATCCGCGACCCCGAGTCGACCATCAAGATCGCTGCCGAAAGCGCGATGCGCGAGATCATCGGCCGGACCGACATCCAGCCGGCGCTGACCGACGCGCGCACCGAGATCGCCGACCGCACCAAGACGGTGCTGCAGCAGATCCTCAACGACTACCGCGCCGGCATCAACATCACCGAGATCAACCTGCAGGACGTGCAGCCGCCGCAACAGGTGGTCGACGCCTTCGAGGACGTGCAGCGGGCGCGCCAGGACCTCGACCGTCTGCGCAACCAGGCCGACGCCTACCGCAACAAGGTGATCCCCGAGGCCCGCGGCGAGGCGCAGCGCATGATCCAGGAGGCCGAGGCCTACCGCGAGCGGCTGATCAACGAGGCCCAGGGTGAGGCGCAGCGCTTCCTCAACGTCTACGAGGCCTACCTGCAGAACCCCTCGATCACCACGCGGCGCATGTACCTGGAGACGGTCCAGGGCATCCTCAGCGACACCGACAAGGTGATCATGCAGGACAGCTCGGGCGCGGTGCCCTACCTGCCGCTCAACGAGCTGCGCGGGCGCCTGGGCGGCGGCAGCGCACAGCAGAGCCAGCAGTAGCCGGAGAGGACGAAAGTCATGCAGAAGCGAATCGCCCTGATCGGCGGCATCCTCCTGGTGGTGCTGGGCTTCGTCGCCTACAACGCGCTCTTCACGGTGCACCAGACCCAGCAGGCCCTGGTCTTGCAGTTCGGCGCCATCAAGCGCGTCGTGCAGGAGCCCGGCCTCAACGTGAAGCTGCCCTTCATCCAGAACGTGGTCTACTTCGACCGCCGGGTGCTGAACCTCGATCCCGACCCGCTGACCGTGGTTCTCTCGGACCAGCGGCGCCTGATCGTCGACGTCTTCGTGCGCTACCGCATCACCGATCCGGTGCGCTTCTACGAGACGGTCAACAACGAGGGGACCCTGCGCAATCGTCTGGACCCCATCGTCAATACCGAGGTGCGTTCGGCGCTGGGTGAGGTGACCCTGGCCAGCGTGCTGTCGGAGGAGCGGCGCGACCTGATGGAGGAGATCCGGCGCCGGGTGAACTCCGCGGTGCGCCAGGCCGCGCAGGAAAGCGGCGTCGCGGTGGAGACCGAGACCAGCAGCGACGTGCAGCTGACCGATACCGCGCGTCCGGCCAGCCAGCGCCGCGGCGGCTTCGGCATCGACGTGGTCGACGTGCGCATCGGCCGGGCCGACCTGTCCAAGGACGTCAGCGAGTCGGTCTACGACCGTATGCGGGCCGAGCGCGAGCGCGACGCCGCCGAGTTCCGAGCCCAGGGCCAGGAGCAGTTCCAGCGGATCACCGCCTCGGCCGACCGCGAGGCCACGGTGATCCGGGCCGAGGCGCAGCGCGACGCCGACATCCTGCGCGGTGAGGGCGAGGCCGAGCGGACCCGGCTGCTCAACGAGGCCTTCGGCCAGGACGCGGAGTTCTTCGACTTCTACCGCTCGATGCAGGCCTACACCGAGGCGATCCGCGGCGAGAACTCCATGCTGGTGCTGCCGCCGGACAACGAGTTCTTCCGCTTCTTCAACTCGCTGCCGGAAGGCGTGCGCAACGCCGAGCGCAATCCCGAGCAGCGCGCGGAGTCGCGTCCCGCCACGCCGTTGCGCAACGGCACGGGCGCCACGGACGGCGCGGCCGGCGGCGCAACCGCGGACGAGCGGCCGGCGGCGCAGTAGGCGCCCTACGGCCCCGACATGACACGGCGGCTGCCTGCCGAAGCAAGCGGTGGGCAGCCGTCGGCGTTTGTGCGGGGTGGTTGATCGAGCCCCATGACCGACCTGCTGACCGCGCTGGCCCTGGTGTTCGTGATCGAGGGCTGCCTGCTGGCCCTGTTTCCCGGGGCGCCGCGGGCGATCTACCGCCAGCTTTCCGAGCTGGCGCCCGAGACCCTGCGGGTCTTCGGCCTGATCGCCGCCACCCTGGGCGTGCTCGCCGTCTGGCTGCTGCGCGGCTGACGGCACGGCTGGCGACGCGGCTGGCCGCGCGGCTGGTGGCGCGGCGGGCGGGCGGCCGCATCTTGGTCGTTTCCTCCTCGCGCGTCTTTGAGGCACACTGCGGATTGCCGGCGCCGCCCGGCGTGCCATGTTTCAGGACAGGTGCCGCCGCCTGGGGCCGCTGCCGCGGCCCGGGGCCGGGCACCGACCGCGAAGACCGCCGAGAGGACCCCGCGTGACCCGAGCCCCTTCCGTTGCCCGCGTCCTTGCAGCCCGCCTGTCCGGCCAGGCGCTGGCGGCCCTCCTGTTGCTCACCGCCGCCGCCGTCTGGGCGGCACCGGCGGCCGCCCAGCCCGAGGGGGCGCCGATCTCCTTCGCCGATCTGGCCGACCGGCTGCTGCCCACCGTGGTCAACATCTCGACCACCCAGGTGGTCGAGCGCGGCGACCAGGAGGACTTCGAGGAGATGTTCCGCGAGTTCTTCGAGCGCCGGGGGCAGGGGGCGCCGCCGCCGCGGCGGCGGGCCAACTCGCTCGGCTCGGGCTTCATCATCGATCCCGACGGCTATGTCGTGACCAACAACCACGTCATCGCCGACGCCGACACGGTCGAGGTGGTGCTGTTCGACGACACCACCTTCGAGGCGGAGGTGATCGGCACCGATCCCGAGACCGACCTGGCGCTGCTCAAGGTCGAGCCGACCTTCCGGCTGCCGAGCACCACCTGGGGCGATTCCAACAGCGTGCGCGTGGGCGACTGGGTGCTGGCGGTGGGCAACCCCTTCGGCCTGGGCGGCTCGGTCACCGCCGGCATCGTCTCGGCGCGCGGGCGCAACATCAACGCCGGGCCCTACGACGACTTCCTCCAGACCGACGCGGCCATCAACCGCGGCAACTCCGGCGGCCCGATGTTCAACCTGGACGGCGACGTGATCGGCGTGAATACCGCGATCTTCTCGCCCTCCGGCGGCTCCATCGGGATCGGCTTCGCCGTGCCCTCGGCCATGGCCCAGAACGTGATCGACTCCCTGCGCCGCTTCGGCGAGGTGCGGCGCGGCTGGCTGGGCGTGCGCATCCAG